AGTAACTATGTCTTGAAGGCCAGACAGATTGAATTATAAACATACAAATTTCATTTTCTGCTATTGTCTGGACCTCAGCATGAAAATTAAAGGAAAAGAGATGTAATTCACTGTTCTTGCAGACAATCTGTGGTTTAGAAGTAGTATTATACTGAGACAGGCAGCATTCAACCTCTTAAATATTTCTAGTTACTGGTACTCAGGTTCAGATTAAGGCAGCTTTACCTGAGTATCACAAAGGCATTTCAAAATGAAAAATTTGGTTCACATCTGCTAGAGGTAACAAAGTCATGCATGCAGAAATCTGAAGCATGTTTTAAAAAACAAAAATATTTTCACTCAACACTTTTGTTTAATTGTTTCATAATATTTCCCTCTTCTTTTTTTCTTTTTTTTTTTTCTTTTTTTTTTTTAGCTGCAGACCAGGTCCCTTTGATTGAGGATTTGGAGCAAATATTCATGCGCTCCTGGCGGGAATCACACCTGTCTGAAATCCGTCAGTACCAGCAGGCTGTTCCCCAGGCCTTTCCCCAGGTGCCCAGCCAGATCACCCCGGTGACTTCAGCCCAGCTGCCCTGGCTGGCAGGGCTGGCAGCCAGCTCATGTAATGACAGCGTCCACATCATTGAGTGCAGCTACTCCCTGGCAGAAGGGCTTTCAGAAATGTTTAAGCTACTCATTGAAGGGAAATTAATTAAGACAAACTATGTGGTGATCATATGTGCCAGTAGAAACCGAGCCATTGATTCCTGCATTGTGATAACAGGTAATGTCCCAAGGATGTATCTCCTTGCAAACCAGAGTAATTCAGCACTGTGAGGGGTTTGGTTGGAGTTCCAGAGAGTTGCCTCACAAAGCAGAGCTTTGACCAGCCAGTAATGGGCTTTGATGAACCCAGGCTGACGCTGCACAGTTGGGTCTCTCCCCAGCAAACCACATTCTGCTTGTGTTGCCCATCTTCTCACCAAAGCATCTCAGCCAACAAGGCTACAAACAAAAAATCAGTAAGATAATTGGCAATTCCTTTCCTAGTCTTTTTAAATCATGTATCAACAAATACTTTCCAAAGTGGGAATGCAATTCAAAGAATTGTAAAACATGGATCTATTTTACATGTGTCTCGTGCATATATGTGTTTGAGACATAAAAGACTCATCCCTGCCATTTCTGTATGTGTGGTATTCTTTTAGTTGTAGAGTACTATTATTATGACTTAGAATATTCTTAATTTTAGTTTGAAGTGTTTTCAAAATTCCTTTTTATTTTTCTTGTCTTTTAGGAAAGTATCAGGCAAGAGTTCTGTCTGAGAGCATGCTCAGTCCTTCAGACTACCAAAAAGAAGTTAACTATCAGCTGGTTACAGGGAAGGTGGAAACTCTGGGGTCCTTCTTTACCACACTCTGCCCAGGTACCTAACAAGTTGTAAAGAAGCATGTTTCCAAATCCCTGAAAATTTTAAGTCTGAGAAAATACCTTTGCTCATTTCCTTACCAGAAGCAAGACACTTAGAGATACATGAAAAATGCAGGAAAAATTGTGAAAGTAAAGTTGAATTGAAATTCCTCCTAAATGTGTCAGTTTCTAAAATCCATTGGTTTCCTAAAAATAGGCCAGCAAATAGCTGAGCATATGATTCTTAGCTATGCAAATCCATCCTTATATTATGTAAGTCCCTATGCATATGAATGTATAAATTCTTTTGCCCTAGGCATTTAGTCCAGAATATATCAGAGCTATTTTATGAAAGGTAGGATTTTCCCCTTCAACTTACCATACTTTGAACTTGATGGTGATGCCTGGGACAGAGGAAAATTGCAGAGGGACAGGGTTACTGGATCATTCTTAGGTGAGTGTACTGAGAATTACTACAGGCAGGATTATCTGGGGGTAGATCAAACCATGTGGAAAGTTAAACTGTACCTCACAACTAGGGCAAATGCAGCATATTTGTCACTTCTAATGGGATGTCACAGTTTTATTTGCCGTTCACATCATGTTGGCAAATAGATCACAAGAACCCTTCTGAATCTGTCATTATATTTTGAGTGGTCGCTTAAGGGAATCTCATTTTCCTTAAATCATCTTGTAGTTATGTATTGTTTATCTTAGTGTATTCAAAGTATGGTTCTCAAAATCAAAGAGAACCATGGAGAGTCACAGAGAATCCTAGAGTTGTTTGCTGTTGCTATTGTTGTTTGAGCAGAACAAGTAAATGAGCATCCTAAAAATAGTTGCCAGCTATATTCACTGGCCTGCTCTTCACAGGACAGACCCTGCCTCTCTGAGCTCACTGCAGACATACTCAAACATCTTTTTAACTGCTGAGAAAGTACTAATGCCTGGGTCAGGCATACTGTATTCTCTTCATAGCTTTCACCTGTAAGTAGGGCCCCTGCTCTACAGAAAAGGGTATGTTTGCAGATACGCAATACTTCAGTAAAAAATACTGTGCTAGTTTCAGCAATGTGTATAGCTACAAAACTCATGTTTTTCTTTTGGCTGTATTAGAAATTACTTTTCTTTCTGTCTGTCAAAAATGTCAGAGTTTTAGAAATGTTT